AATGTCATCACAAAGAATACATCACTGTAATGCACAGCATTTACCGCGATTGGTCTCTTGAATATTTTTAGACAACACAAATGGTCATAAGGAAATTTTTCACAACCAGACCTGTATTAGAGGAATATAAACTTACTGTACATAAAGCTAACAGCAAGGTGATGTAGTATAAATATATAGTACAAGCAAGCAAAGAGTAAGGTAACATTAGAATTTTCAAAAATGCCAGAGGTGATGTCTTCAATGCCATAATTTTTCATATAACAGTTATGAACAGAGCACAAATTATAAAAATTAAACAAATTTAGATTTTTGTGCCTGGTCTGTTGGTCCATCTGTCGTTATTAGTCATCTGAATAACAGGTATGGAAATCTTATTATGTTTCCCCTAGGGTAGCTCACGATCTTGTGTGAATTCAGCCACCCATGAGACTTTAAGAGTACATCTTGATCAAGTAATTTGTGACTAATAAATACCATTTTATGGTGTAAGTCATAAAAATAGACTTGTTTGTGTTTCATATCAATTTAGGAAGTTAATGAATAATATGATTATGACATATTTTATCCAACATTTTTTTAAAAAATATATTGATCTGCTGTAAGCCGCACCTTGAAAGTTTGGTGCTATCTTACTATGACTTTTTCTTTGTAACATCTAAATTGTAAGGCGTACACAAAGTTTAAATACTTACAGGAAAAAAAAAGGGGGGAAAAAAAGAAAAAAAAAAAAGGGAGAGGAGAGGTTTAACATCTAGTCTTAAAAAGTTACAGTATTTAAAACACATCTGCTATAAAAATTTAAACTTAAATTAATTTCACCCAAATCTGAGCAACCAATGCTATACTTACATGACACAAAGGACCATGTTCAAAAGCTCCGATCAATACTCAACGGGGCAAAAAAATGTTTTTCAAATTCATCTTTGATAATAATTAATTGTGTTACAGCATATATTTTCAGAGCATGAAATGACTTTGTGAGTTAAAGGAATGGTTTATACATTACAAATGCTAAACATCACTAACAGATGGCACTTATTATTGTAATACATGTTTAGGTACAGTAACAATTTGACATGATAATAATACAGAACTATATTTATATACTCTATTAATACAATGCCTTCACCATAATCTTATTGTAATCATACATGTCCATTTTTTTTTTAAATATTAAAATGAAAATTTAAAAGATAACAAAAAAACTCCACCAAGTAGGATAATTAGAACAAAATTAATTTCAGTAACAAGATATCAACATTTTTTTTGTTAAAGTGATCTCAATTTTATCACAAAAAAACAAACAATTTGAATTCTACTAATTCTTAATAAACTGTGCTTATCATTTTTTAAAAATATGTGCTAAAGGAATACATAAATCAAAGTTGTTCCATTGTTATAAAGCATTCAAATCTGATATACGGTTAAATTTATAACTGGAGATTTTAACACTCCCTCCGTTCAAACATGTGGAGATTCCTGCTGATATGGCTAAATGCTATCTGTTATTTACATAACTAAAAAATTATCTCTCACTGCAGCAATTCAAAAATTTTTTTCAGTAAATAAAAATAAACTCAAAAGGGTCAGTAGTGAGACTTTGATCGATGATGCAAAATATTTTTGGATCTCTTTGTCAAACAAAGGGTCAAGGTGGTACACTGAAATCTGTGCTTAACTTAAAGATGGCTATCTCGAAGACAAATTTAAAAAGTATGTTTCTTTGGATACTCCCGATATGGATTTTTTTCCCCCATGATTTAAAATTGAAAGCTGAAGCAAAGTTATTTCTGTATTTTACTAACTAAGGACTCTTTGACTTGATGACAATTATTTACCACAAGAACAACACAAGAGGTATCAAACAGCCTAGAAACAAACACACCCTTGAAATTTCTGGGAAGCTGTTTTAGTTCAAGTCACTGAGAAACAAAAAAATAAAGAAGGGAATAAAGGTGAATCCTTATAAGTGTATGAGGAATACAAGTGATCACCGTGGTATGTAAATGAAAGCAAAGCGAATGCTCTTGTGTGACTGCCAGCACATAGTGAAGCTCAAGAGAACACGTTTACCTGTCTAAGTTGTTGTACTGTTACATTTGACAAGGGCACCACTTCTTAAGATGGTGAATTCTTTCCTGACAGAATCAGGCTATTGCTATAAATTTAAACTTTTTTGATGAAAGAATTATAGTTATATAATTTGTTTTTACATTATAGAACACGATGAAAAATGAAGAAAGTTTGATTTACAGCATGAGTGAGAATGAGATTCTTTCATTTACAGTACATGTAAGAGTGTCTTTGCTGGATTCAATTTACATGCTAAAATAAGATTGTTTGATTTACAGTACATGCTAAGAATGAGATTGTTTGATTTGCAGTACATTGCTTAGAATGAGATTGTTTGATTTACACTACATGTTTAAGAACTAGATTTGTTTGATTTACATTACATGCTGAGAATGAGATTGTTTGATTTACAGTACATGCTAAGAATGAGATTGTCTGATTTACATTACATGTTAAGAATGAGATTGTTTGATTTAAAGTACATGCTAAGAATGAGATTGTCTGATTTACAGTACATGCTAAGAATGAGATTGTTTGATTTACAGTAAAAGCTAAGAGTCCTTTGACTTACAGTGCATTCTGAGAAAGCCATGTACTTCACTTCAAAAGAAGAGAACATTAAAAATAAAAATTTTCAAGAAACAGATTCAAACATTTTTTTAAGAAGTCAAATTGACAGCTCCCCCCCCCCCCCCGGTAAAAATCATTTACTATGTTTGAAAACAATATATTGTTTCATCAAGATTTGAATTGTAGAAAGTTCAACTGTCCTTTAAAAATTTATATATTTAACTTTAAGTTATGTCAATATGTAGTCTCGTGCCCCGTCTGTCATGAGTTATTCCTGTGTGATGTTAATGCCACTCATAGTAGTCAAGCTCAAGGGAAGTCTATACATTTTGTTAAAAAAAAGGCATACAGTAAAATCAAAGATATAAATTTTAAGGAAAACATGATATCTCACACATACAGTAAACACTTCAGGAAAAGTATCCAAAAAGTTAACATGAGAACAATTTATAGATCTTAGATCAAGATATAACACACATAATTTGTCAAGTCTGAGATCCTGGTAAGTAGCGTCTACTGCAAAGAGATACGGAAATGTTGCACAGCTTTGAAAGACAATTTCTGATCAGTGATCTCATGCATTTAATTGGCATTCCTTTGCAAATAAAGTTGCCATGGTGATCTGAATTAAAGTAAAATATGGAATTTGTTCATATAAAAACAGTAAAGCTGTTTTTTTTATTGCACAGGCTGCTAATGAGTAAGATATTGAATGTGATTAAACTTATAAATAGTTAGCCTCCATCTTGAGATTCTCAGTTTCCTTGTTGCTGCTTGACAGGTCATGTCGACAGGTCATGTCGACAGGTCAAGTCAGCAGTTCAAGTCGGCAGGTCAAGTCGGCAGGTCAAGTCGGCAGGTCATGTCGGCAGGTCACGTCGGCATGTCAATTCGGCAGGAAAAGTTTTAAAAGGTTAAGAAGAAAGCAAAAAAAAATCATCATCAAACAGCAGAGGTATATAAGTGTGCAAGTTATATGCATGAAAAAACTTAAACATGTCTGAAACAACAGATCAAATACAAGCTGTAGTGAGTGGATATTGCTTCACGCTTTTAGGCATATAAGTTGCTGTATGTTGAGCATTGCTACAAGTAAACAGTAGCTATGTAAGCAAACTAAATGCATGCTTGTTAGGTAAACAACTGATTGGGGTGAAACAAGAGTTCAAAAATGGAGTAGAATTAGAATGTGTCCTGCTTGTGGTCAGCACTGATAACAAAACTAATGCACTGAAAGTGGGTAAAGCCAAATTCTGCATCAACAAGAAAAGGATAATTTAGTAAAGAAACAAGAAAAAGCATAACTGGCAATTAACTGGTTTTGCCGAGGAAGTAGTTTGGAATTAAGACATCAGACGCTTCAGTCCTAAACAATTCATTTGTCAAAAAAACACACAAAAATCACTCAAAAATTTAATTTATAATAATGAAACTAAAAAATCTAAATAATAGATAAAAGTTGTTTTTTTAACACAAATTTAAAAGAAAAATGAATATATACTACTAATGATCACAGACATTAAGGATATGTTTTTTTTTATTTAATATGTGACATAAAAATTGTGTTCTTTTAATATTTTAAAATTATGTTGTAGTAATTTAAGATTTAAATGAGCATATAGCTAAATACTATGGAGGTTAAAATAAATCTAGGCGAATAATAAATAATTCATCAATGTGAGAGTGAATTACAGATAAAGCAAATTTAACTTTTCCTTGATAGAACACTTATTTATGAGATGTACTTTCTCTTCATCCTAAGAAATTCTTCTTTCCTCACATGGTAGAACAGTACAAAAGGGTAACAAAAATAATTTGTAGTTTACAAAAAAAAAAAAAAAATAATAATAATTTCCTTGATAGAACACTTATTTATGAGATGTACTTTCTCTTCATCCTAAGAAATTCTTCTTTCCTCAAATGGTAGAACAGTACAAAAGGGTAACAAAAATAATTTGTAGTTTACAAAAAAAAAAAAAAAATAATAATAATTGTTGAATGTTGTATTTGATAAACAATTGAAAGTCATCTTTGATAAACAATTGAATGTCATATTTGATAAACAGTTGAATGTCCACAAAATCTTTGTTTTGAAGGCCAATAAGTGAAAATACAAAAAAAAATTCAGCTAAATTTATATATAAATTTTAAAAAATACTAAACAATTTCCTGCATATAATTATCAACTACAAAATTAATTTTCCCATAAATGTTTCCTCTTTTAATGCACTAAAATCTAAAAATAAAAAAATTAGACATGAAAAAATACTTTTATATTAACTACTCTTTAGTTTGTGCTTCAAGTGAAATAATCGATAAGTAAATAAGAGAATTATGAAAGAATTGATAACAAATATACCCAACAGGTATCCTAGACTGTTACCAAAGTTCTCAAAATGCCATTTTGATTGGACAAGAGCTCTGCGCTCCCTGAAGTCTAGAAGAACCGCCTGAAGTTGATCCATGACTGCCAAAATGGATGACACGTGAAACAGCTGATGCGAGTGCCCGATGATGTCGAAAATTCCTGGGAGGAGGCGTTCGGGGAGGTGGGATGCGTAGAGGAATGCTGCGATGAATGCAAACAAAAACTGTCTGCTGTGCAGCTGCAGGGCGGTCGAATGGCCCTCATCTGCTCCACTCTGAGAAATCCTATAAATAATGGGCGCGCTGTCATAAATGTAGGGAATGGCAAATGCTCCAAGACGCAGGGCTTTACGCAGAGGACCGGGCTTCATGAAACGGGTCTCACACGATGTGAACGTGCAGAGTACGGCACTGATCGCAGCCAGGTTGACGTAGTTGTCTCTGTACAAGCTAAGACCTGAGTCGTCACGAAAGAGGTCCGCTGGGAAGCAGTAGGCTCTGTAGATGACAGCCACTCCAAAGCTGAACAGGCTGAGAGCAGAGTAATCCAGGAAGAAACAAACGTGCCTTGCTCTGTCGGACATGACATTGAAGAGATGTGCTACAGCACTGGCCAATGGGAAGGCACAACACACCAAGAGATAGGTCAGCAATGGCCAGGTGTAGGAGTCATTCCAAAAGTCTATGCTAAACCATAAGTGACAGGCTATATACACAAAGTACCTGTTACCAAACAGATCAAAAAGAAAAGATATAATTTTGACTCTAATAATTGTGTTCAATATCTGATATAGCTGATTTTTGTTAGCCATTAAGTTAATTATAAAGACAACCCAATTAGTTATTTTTTTTAAGTTAACTACCTCAAAATATATTTACAGGAGATGGTAGGTAATTTTTTCAAGTTACAAAATTATTGGTACCGGTAGAGAAAAGCTGAATGGTGAATGCATTAATAAGGAAGAACATTTTTAAACAATCATCTTTCGACAAATCTGATTAAAATTCAATAAGCCTACCAGGTTGGCAAGAAGTGTGTCCATATATTAATTGTCTCATTTGTTGGATCAAAGAGACTCAGTAGGCACTGTGTGGCTGAGCTTTTAGGGTGGCGATAACCACGCAGAATGTAGTGTTCATGAAAGTGCTCTGGAACCTGGATGTAGAGATCAAAATGGCATAATTTTATAACATCTCATTTGGGACGTGATTTATCCAATAATAAGGGTTAAATTTGAATTAATTTTTTTTAAGTCAGCTGAGCATTAGAGAGACTTTTTTCCAAAACAACATTTTGTTTAAACGTTGCACAACAAATTTAAAATTAAGCAATACTGTGTCTTGAAAAGTTACAGATCTATATGTATATATATAGAGAGAGAGAGAGAGAGAGCAAGAGAGACAAATGGATTAGTTTACATAGTAATTTGTACACTTAATTTAAATTATACAGCTATTTTAATTTAGTATAATTATAAAACAACTGTTAAGAACTAGTTTGCGAGCATAGTTCATTTGAGTATGGACTGTCATGAGTTGAGAGGGGGGAGGAATTGAATAGGTCTTTCAGGGCTAGCTGCGATCGGTTGTTACTATGCTTAATAAACCACTTAGGTGAATAAATACTGAGTGAACACGGGTCGGAAGTTAGTTATTGATGTAGTGTCAAATGTGCAAGTTATCATTAGCCAGTACGTAAGTGTTGAGAGTTGTCAAATTGACAGTGGTTTTAAGTTGTTGCTCAGTATTCCATAGCGTTGTTAGCAGATGTTTGTAAACTCAAATTGGAGTGTTCCCAATCTTGTTTGCTGTGGGCAAGGATTTTTCATAATGTGCAACTTGTAGTTTTGAACACAGTGTAATATCAAAGAAAAGAACAAGGTAAATAAATGACTTAAGTATTCATAGCCTAGTGTTGTTCTGCTTGTTGCCATCAAGTGCAGCCGCAAAAAGATGAAATCATATCCTAGAGTTTCATCAAACAAGAGTTGTTCCCCCCAGACGCCATAGAGCCTGTCGGACTGCCCGGCAGTAGACTCATCCAGTGAGGGAGGTTAGTTACATCAACAATATCATTGTAAACTAAGTTTTATTAAAATGTTTCACCACTGATAGAGAGGCATTCATTTAGATCATTAAAAAACAATCAAACATTTGTTTTATGAGATATCAAAATGCTACTACCCTATCCACAGTTGATTTATAGATTTAACTGTACTCTACACAAACTCTCAGCATTTTCAGACTAGCCTAAGACATATTCTGCACAAGTTGTTGTTTTTTTCAGATGGCAAGAGCTGACCTAATGCATTTTATAGAAATGTATCGGATGCTCATAAAAACATAACAAAAACAAGTAATAAGAAGAATAAGGCCCACTGTTTCATTTAAATATTAGAGGAATAAGGCCCACTGACCCTATACATATGTAAGGAAGTAAGCCCATAACCTGATACGATATATGATGAATAAGTCCAAGAATATGGCCCTCAGCCTTGTTTAAGATATGAGGGGAAAAAAGCCCACAGCTTTATTTAATATATGATGAGCAAAGCCCACTGAACCAATTGAAATATGGTTGCAGTGACTGCCTTTATATGAACAATAGTAAAAAAACAAAAAAAACAATTCATTTGACAATTACTGCTAATCTAGGGAAGCAAAGATTAGTGAAAAGGAAGATCTTAACTGGCCTTGTCACTTGGACTGCCACCAATTAATTGAAATAAAATTCTTGTTATGACTCTCGAATGACCATTTCTTTCCATCTCTAATGTAAGAATGTAGACAGGTATGTTGCAATTAGACCAAGCATAAATCAGTTCAAAATCGCAAAATATACATGCCCATATTTCTATATTCAGCTTACCTGATGAACATTATAAATTGGGCCACTTAGGCCTCGCCCTGCAGATACTGACATTCCTAGCATGGCAAGTATGAGTATCTGATAATGTGAAGAAGGCACTTCAACATGGATTTCAATGATTGGTGACTGGAATTATTATCAGATAACCATACGATGGAGGTTGTGTCAGTACCAGACCACCTGTAAATAAATATTTAAAAAATTAGATTATGAGCTCTTCTATACTATATATCAACTTTCAAAATCAGATCATGGTCACAGCACCAATTATTTGACTAACTGATAAAAAAAAAAATTTTAAATCTAATTTTTTTTTATTTTTATATGGTCATTATAGTTAAAACACAACTTGAAAACTCACATGCATCAATTCTATGAGCTGATGAAGCTTGTTTTAGTCTATGAATGATTGAGAGGGACATAATAGTGACTAGCATTTTTGGGGGGGAGGTACCAAATCTTTTTTACCTTTCTCTTTTTTAAAGACTTTCAAATTATTTGTCATAATTGCTTTTGGTCCTGGTAATAATTGATGGGCTGCTTTCAAGTTTTGTAAAAGAAATATAAGAACAAGTTATGCCAAACTTGAATTCATAAACAGGACAAACAATTTTGACGTTTCTATACGTCATACTACTGTTTCTCAATATCACTGTATTTCTTCTTTTTTTTTCTCTTATTCCTTAAATTTTATGTATCCCAAAATATTTTAAGATTCACTCCCTTATTCTTATTTTTCACAGTACCGATATTTATATTCTTTCACTTCCTGTAATCCTACTTCCGGCAACAAAAAGGAATACATTTTTTTTTTACTGTGATCTGATACTTGTTATACTTCTTTTTGTCTTGTTTTCTGATGAAGGCTCTAAGCTGAAACGTCAAAATCTTTTGTCCTGTTGATGAATTCATGTATGTCATACCTTGTTCTTATACTTCTTTTGGTACCGGTATCTAGATAGGCGCTTCAGTAAAGCAAGGGAGACTACTTCAACATTTTGTAGGAGAAATAGGAAGCGAAGCAGAAGAATCCAAGTTTATAATTTTAGGACGTTGGTGCTTTTTCACAGATGTGTGGACTATTTTGTCATAAAGTTGTGATATTTACAGTAGTGGACATCTTTGCCTTCATTTCCATCAAAATTTTGTCTTTCCAATCGACCCCAAAATTGGAAATTCCTAGTTATATATAAGGTATATTTCCCTAAAAATTTGTTGAAGAAGTTCAAAATCTATGTCTTTCATATTCAATCTTCCTCAGCATATATATTGATGTACATCTGTGCCAATTCTCATTGAGTGGGCTATTAGTTGTGCATTATAATAAGGTCAGTGAGCCCAATTTCGAACATGTTGTCCATCTCCCCTTTTAATAGTAGAAGATGCCAATAACTTATGAAATATTCAATTATTACAATTAATCACGTGAAAATATTTGATAGCTTGTGTTTAAAATGAACTTAGAAGGCATGTATACAATTATATTTTAGTTTGAGGTTTAAAAACCTGGAAGAGTCTATACTAATAATTATAATAATTTGCTGTGTGCAAATTGTTGTAATGGGCAACAATTCACAGTCACTTCCATGTACTATATTACTATACTATCATTCACTTAGATTTATTGATAAGAGGTTCCTGTGTGCAAACACTATTCCTATTAAATAATTGGTCAGGGAAAGCTTTTATCAATTATAATTATAAATAGTCATGCAAAATTTGAAAGTTCAAAATAAGTTGTCCCAAACCAGTATTACTTTTAGTGGGATGCCTTGCCGTAGTCTACATAAAAATATAATATAATGGTCATGGAAACATTAGATTTAGATCTAGTGAACAGAACATCAATATTGTATTTTTTTAAATTTAATGATAATATTACATAACTAGATAAGTAAATAAGAAACAATGGATAATTTATTTATAATTGCATGAGTTAAAAATTACAATTAATATTGGAATTTTTAATACTAATACCTAGCATAAATTCATGAATTCTGAAAATAAGTTGCTTTAAAATAATAATCAGCGATATGGGGTCACAAAATGTTGACATGCAGTTCAGTATGAACTTCATTTTCATAGACATCACAGTAAAAAAATTACAAACAATCTGAATCTCACACTTAAAATTTCATGGCTCAAAAAGTACTAGGCCTAAAGCCTAAAGCTAGAAAGTTATTTTTTTAAATTTAATTTGAAGTCTGCTCTATAACTATAAGACTATCCAACTGTTATATTTTTATAATTTTTGTTACTTAAGTACCTTTCTAGCCTACTAATAGTAGGCTACTATCTACTAAGTATGTCTATGTACATTTTATATTACTAATTAATTATAAATTATGATTCTCCTTGACATTTTAATTTAATGGATGCAAACTGGTAAAGGTAAGTATCAAGTGTATTAGCCTATACAAAATATGGTAAATTACGAGGACGAATGCCACTATTTTATAGAATTTCACGACTGTATCCCTAAATCGATCCCTATACCTAACCTGAACCCTAAATTGATCCCTATGCCTAACCTGAACCCTAAATGGATCCCTCAGCCTAACCTAAACCATAATTTACTGCAACTATAATTTTTAATAAACACCCAAAAGACGCTGTGGCATTCATCCTCAGATTTAGCCCAAAATATCATTGAGCGAGAACTGTTCACTGGACCTGTGCACCGTAAGAGTCAACTGTGTAGATAAGGCTTATGCCAATTTCTAATGCCTAGTAATGTGAGTGTGAGGAGGGAACGGGAAGGACTGCACTCTAACAGTACTATAGACTATAATAGACTTTAGTTACTATACTATACTTATACTATTACTGTATTACTATAGTACTAACAATAATAAACACCTTGCCTTACAGCCTTACAGTTACCGCCTTACCCAGCCCTATTACATGAGTATTAGTATTAAAAATCATTTTTATCAGGATGTTTAAAAAATTTAAAACCATACGATTGCACTTGCATTTATTTAGTTAACCAGATGCGCTGGTTTTCACCAACCGTCACAGGAACTGTGTATGGTCAGTGACAATTATTCAATGTTTATTTTTTCTAGCACTAAGTAGCCATGATCAACAGGACGAGCCACAAGTTGACATTCAAATGCCACAAAAGTAGACATTTGCAGGTCATTTAAACATAATAATTTGGGTCAAATGTTTAAGTTTAATTAAACTATCAAAATTATCTTTAACATCTTTTAAAATTATTTTATATAAAATATATTTAAAATTTCATGCTTCCTATTTTTTTTTAATACTACAAATTTACGACAATGGCTGAATTTAACCACACCAGGGCTGCCACTCACTTTTTTCAAATTTCCCAAGATTTGGTGAACAAATTTCCCAAGATTTCCCAAGATCATACAAATATATAAGAGTTTTTTTTTTTAAAGGGGGGTTTTCTATGTAATTAATGTAATAATAGATTGAATCAATGCCCCTGAAAAACATGGTATATTAATGGACTGAAATTTAGTGAAAAAGACATTTAAAACATGTTTATCACATTTAAAAAAAAACAATTTGTTTTTAAAAAAATAATTTATAATCCAAAATATCAATACCCACTGGAGTTAGGCTACTAAATATTACCTCCGAATTCTCTGATAAAAATATAATCTACAATACATGTGTAATAGAAGTCACTTGGAAAAAAAAAGCATACAAGGCTAATCAACACAGAATTCCTTTTACAAAGGCAAAAGTTTCTTCATCAAAAAATGATTTTTTATTATTGTAAATCTGTTGATTACAAGTGGGGTTTGCAAAGCAATTAAGCAAAATTTATTAATAATAATTGTAGTTAAAATGGATTGATATTACGATGAAAACAATAAGTGTTTTATTTTTTCTTGTAAAATTTACATTATAACGATTTTTTCACCAAAAAAAAAAAACTTTTAAAGGAATTGTTCATTTATAATCCTACAACGTAGGCCTATACTGCCTATACTATTAATATCTTAGTTACCCGTGTTTCAATCCACAAATATTTTTTCTAATTGATGAAAATTAGGCTGGATTTTTTACAGATGCATTATATTTTGAACACATTGTAGAAGTAATTGAAATAATAAAATTCTACTATGGCATGGATTCTTGATTGAACACTATCGTTCACTCTTTGGCTTGTACTGTTTTTCGTATGGTTGCTAATGTCTAAGAGCATAATGATAAAGTTTCCGAGCCTACCCCCCCCCCCATTTAATAAACATTCAAAACCTGGATGTAATTTGTAAATCTTCAATTTTTTTTTTAAAGAGAAAATTGAATTTTTTAAAAAAATTATTAACTTTTTAATAATTCACAATATTAACTTTAAAATCAGAAGAGTTTTTATTTATTTTATGAGTGGATTTAAAAATTAAAACCAGAAAAGAAAATGAAAACAATTAATTTTTTGCCTTGTTACTTTAAAAATTATTTTGCTTTATTTTTACTTTATTTTTTATCAGATATTGTTGCGTTTTTTTCGAAAAATATAACAAAATTTTCCCCTCAGTTAAGATTTCCCAAGGTTTTGCATGATTTTCAAAATTATTCCCCAGATCCCAAGGGGGGTCGTGAATTCCCAAGATCTTGGGAAATTTCCCAAGGTGTGGTAGCCCTGAACCACACCAGTGATGCAATGGGAGGCTATCTTCTAATTCTTTGGATCGTCCAAAATGACAGAAGTCGCCTCCCATTATCCATTTAAATTTTGAAAGTTTAAATTTTGATCTTTGCTATTTTCCTTTGACCTAAAATTTTATTTGCTAATGTACTCACTGGAGTACGAAGGGTGGAGCGGGGTGGGCGATTCGCTAGGAAATCTAGGAACATTACACAAACTAAACATCCTTCATTTGAAAAACTATTTGAAGAAAGATGTTATTGTAAAATTAAACACATTTTGGATGATACATCCTACCCTCTTCATCACAGATACTTAGGATCGGGCCGTTCGGGACGAATTCTTTCCATCAGGGCAAGGACTGAAAGATATACAAATTCTTTTGTTCCCTAATCTGTACGAATTTACCACCATGCTCCCCCTGAAGTCACAAATCTTAATGAGAACTAATAGTTCAAATTTGTTTATTTATGTGCTAAAAATGGACGATGCAATCATAATACATTTCCATTTGTTAGGATCAATAAAAGAATCTTATCTATGTGCGCTCTCTAAATATGCAATTTTTTTCAATTTGGTGCCACCCCCTGGGGTGGTGTCACCCCGTTGCAGTTCTCATCCCCGTACCCTCTTACCTACGCCACTGGTTAATCCTATAAATGGGTAAAAAGTCATTTTTAAACTGCGTTTTTTCTGACCTATGTATAGGGTCACCTCATTTCTGACGTATCAACATATAACTTTTAATAAACCAAGCACTGGGATTGGTTCCACGTGTGGGAAATTTGTGTGTGATCGGTTATCCTTTTATGAAAATCGGTTGGACCGAGCAGTGTGGGCTCTGTTAGACCGAGCAGTGTGGGCTCTGTTAGACCGAGCAGTGTGGGCTCTGTTAGACCGAGCAGTGTGGGCTCTGTTAGTAAGCAATTTTTTTTCAGTTTGGTGTCACCCCCTGAGATCGAGACTCGCATGTGCGGTCCACACCCCCGTACACCCTAGCTACGCCCCTGCCCCACGCTGCCCTCCTCAAAAAAAGTCCCTACGCCTGGGGAGGGAGGAAGGTACACTTTGAAAGATACAGACGGCCCATATTTTCCCGTGTAATTAACGGTTATTAGAAGATAAATTGAACGAGCACTAGTTACCGGGGGGGGGGGGGGCGGGGGGGGGGGATAGATATCATTTTTATTAACGAATTGAATTTCTTTTAAATGTAAGTTTTATGGTCGCTATCCAAGAATAAGAGTTTAAATAAGATAACAGGTAGTTTATGACGTAAACTACTGGCATCCTGACATGATACACACACATATTTTATTTCATCTATCCTTTAAATGTAAACTCATGTAATATACCAAGATCATTACATTATTAAATATACACAAACATATATATATATAAATAATTGGTTTCTGTATTTTAACCATATTATATTTGGCTGTCTTCTATGCGTTCAGCTCCATCTTCCCTTGGCCTTTTCGATTCATTCATTTTCAATTCAATCATCCATTCAAGTCGTTCATAAAGTAATCTATCAATAAATATTCTTTTATGGGAAGTAATCGGTTCTTTAATAATACCAGGTTATTCTTTAATCCACTCTGTCCATTCTTTAATCCACTTTGTCCATTCTTCGATCCACTCTTTCCATTCTGTAATCTACTCTGTCCATTATTTAATCCACTCTCTCCATTCTGTAATCTACTCTGTCCATTATTTAATCCTCTCTGTTCATTCTGTAATCCACTCTGTCCATTCTTCGATCCTCTCTGTCCATTCTTCGATCCACTCTGTCCATTCTTCGATCCACTCTGTCCATTCTTTGATCCACTCTGTCCATTCTTTGATCCACTCTGTCCATTCTTTGATTCAAAATGTTCATGCCTTAATCCTCTATACCCCCCTTCTCCAAATTAGTTCCCTATGTAAACACCACTGTTGTTGAAGAATTTCTTGGCACATTCAAAGCCTCCAAATAGCCCAAGAAATGTCTAGCGCCGAGCGGTGTAATGAATAGTCGACAGATGGGGTGAATATCCTTGGGTCAGACATTATACCGCACAATTTCCCCCTCCTTCCTCCCCCCCCCCAAAAAACAAAAAAAAACAAAAAAACAAAACAGTTGCTGGATACAAGAAGAATGATCCAAAACAGTTTCTGGATATAAGAAGAATGATGAAGGTAGAAAAAATTCTAGGTCCCGTCTTCTCCGAAAAAATGGCACGTGACACAGCTTCCAAAACAAAACAAAACATTGTTTCTGTATAAATTAGGCCAAACAATAAATTGAAATGAGTTTGAAGAGAAAATTGATGTTTCTAAGGCGCACCCACATAACAAAACCAAAATCTTAAAAGTGGCACTGGTGTGGAAATATAGATATAGATAGATATATATTAATGAACAATNGGGGGGAAAAAGGTGCAACCCCCCCCCCCCAAGTAAATAATGGGAGGTGTGGGGGGGGGAAAGATGGGGGGGGGGGGTTGCATTACCTGTCCAATTTACATACTTATAAGATTTATTTTTTATTTTTTTCTATATGAATTTTGGGTTTCCGTGAATTAGGGACGACGACGCCTGATAAGGACCGAAAGAAATAAACAAAAAAAAATCATTAATTTAGTCTGAAAGTCATAATACGCAGTGGCGAAGCTACAGTGGTGCAGGTTGCGCCATCGCGCCAAGGCCCTAAGCCAAGAGGGGCCCGTGTTTATAAAAGTATAAACTTTTCCTGGGCCTACTTTATCTATCGCACCGGGGCCCATGCAACTCTAGCTGCACCACTGGTATAACGTTTAATGGAGCTTCTAGTTTTCATTTGAGCTATGGGGTATTACAATTTAAAAAATTGCCCCAATAGACTTGAATGTAGTTTTTTTTTTTTTTTTTTAAACGTGGACAATATTATTAGATTAAATTAACATAAACACCGTCAACTTTTTGATTACTTGGTTCTATCATGTGTTTAAAGGTGTAGCTTACGTTTGACTTAGTCATCTGTAAAATGTATCATCAGCACTGTTTTGTCGGACAGGTCGATTCAACGGTCGAGCCAATGTGACAATGTTTTGCTCCATCCTCACCCTCTGTGTTGTTGCTTACTTCATTGTCGACTGGGTGCTGCACATGTTCAAGGTCGGCCAACAAAGGCACAGACATGTGTTCATCACCGGATGTGACAGTGGATTTGGGCGGGACCTGGCCGTGTGAGTAGCAAAGTCAACATGGGACAAGGGCTTTCAAACTGGAGGTCTCCGGACTGGTTCTCAAATCCGTTCTCACCACTCTACTTCTACAAGCTGAAAGTGTAACATTTAAGTCAAAGTTAATTATTTCCGACCAATATCATAGAAAAGTTAGCGAAGCCCTGGCATGGGGCCTTCAAACCCTTTCAACATTAAAAAGCCTGCTAGAACTTAAAACATTATGAATTGTTGTGGGGGGGGGGGGGTGAATAGTTCTAGATCTAAAAGTTGGGGAGAGGTTAAGGGA